GCTCCCCCATCCCTCCAAATAGAAAGGCGGAAGCAAGCCACAGGTCCGGGCGGGTTCCAAATCCAGCGATATGTGAAACAAGGCCTTTTTCACGCGCCGCACAGCCAGCGGGTTTACGGCTTAGTTGAGTCAAAGTCGCTTGGAATACAAGGAGTCGACCCAAATCAAAAACAAACTGGAAAAAAGGAGTCGACCCTTGGAAAAAAAGAAAAAAAGAAAAAAACCGACCAGAAACCACCCGCGCCCTACTGTATGGTTTAGGGCTGTGCCCTACTTTGAATACCTAGGTTTTGATGGTGGCTCGGTTATTCTCACCCGCAAAGGCAATTGGGCACCTCTCTCGCTTGTTTTGGAACTCCTTTCAGCGCCCTTGCCTGATGGATGATGGATGGTGCCTGCTTACCCGTTGCCTTTCAAACTAACAAGTAGAGGTCGCCACTTTCACAAAGCCTCCACGAAATGCAACCTTCTGCTGGCATTTGAACTGGACCACCAGAGGGCGTCCCTCAAATCTTGCGAACTGCCCCAAACCAGGATGGACCTTCCGACGCATAGCCGTCGCTGAGGAAAAGACCAAACAAATAAACGCGGATTTTCAAAATCGTGGTACTCGAAGGAAAACCACAAGGAAAACTAACCTATGTTTGGGGACCCCTAGTCTCACCTATTTTGAGCAACACCCAAATGGCGCGAAGCAACACGCCCTTGCAAGATCGAGCGTCGTAGGTGAGTCTGTCGTTGGGGGGTGAGAACTTCACCACGTTGTCGACCTTGTACAGGTTCAGGTTCGCCCACTCCTAGGATCCCAAATGGCTGTGGCTCAAAAAACCGGTACCGAAAATGGGTTGCCCTGGTAAGTGGAAACATGGATCAAAACCTGCGGTTTGCCCCTCCGATCGTTTAATTCTGAGCCACACCCAAATGGACAGAGAGAGAGCTACAGGCTATTCTCCTGTGGCAAGAACCTCCCCAGAAACCTTCTGGGAATGGAGACAAGGGTGGTTGTCGAATAGACTGTGTCCACCATATCCTCAAATTCCGACTCCCTCCTCTTCAAAGGGAAACCTGCGGTGACATGATCTGAAACTTGGGTCTAGGGATGTACTGGCGAACAGTGGAGTGGATTTGTGGATGAACTTCGCTGTGTCAAGAGGTGCTCAAACGCCCGCGCATGCAGTGGCATTTCTCAGTGCAGGTACCTGATTGGCAGATAGTAGGGCGGCTAGAAACACAGAAAACAACACAAACAAATGGTTCACCCCCGCTTCTGTGATTTCCCTCAAGGGAAAACTGAAGCTGTTACCATCTGGACTCAACAAGTACAGGCACAGCGTGAAGTGCTTCGTGCGCCTGCGCCTGGTTGCCGCCAACCGTGCATCAGTATAAGAAACGTGTCCAGCAAGGGTTGTACTGACGAAAACCCAACACTCTCGAGCCAAAACCGTTGCACACACGCGTCCGTGTGTCTAGTGTAGTGGATCCTGGCAGATAACCCTTGTACCCTCTCTCTCTCTCTCTTTCTCTCTTTATTGCAGATGGATTATGTTTCCCCTTGTTTGTGGGAGGCTTGCCATCCCCATCTTCGACTTGAAAGCAACAAACTCATCATATCACCACCATGTCCTTCCCCTCCGCGTGATTCCGGTGCTTGCGCCCTTCCTGAGGCCAGCTTGCCGGGCATCGCGCTGCCTGCCGAACTCCGCCCTGTCCGTTGCAACCGGTGCCACTGGTAGAAAAGGTCAACACCTTTTGCGAGGTTGACCCGTTTCAGTGGAGAACCCCAGAAAAATGGACTTGGATGAAATGATTGAAGAGTGCCACTGAAAGCCAAGCCGTCTCTGCCCTCCCACCATTGCCCAAGCGGCAATGCAGGGGCATGTGGCAAGGCCGGTCGGGTTCGTCTCCGCATTCGCGGAGACGAAGGCAAGCAGCAGCAACATGGGCCTGACAGAAAATTGCAGTCTCATCAACTCTCCACCCACTTTATGAACTGTTTTCAGTTGAGAAGGAGAGCCATTTCTCAGCGGACTCCCTTGACACGTGTAGCAAGGGCAGCTGTTGTCCATTGAGGGTAGACCAAGTTTCAACCAGCCCACCTTCCTTTTGCACTGGTAGGGTTGGGTCTGCAAGAAGTCAGCTTTTTGTGTCTGTGGCCCTATCAGATTGGCTGAACCCTCCAGGTTGGCAGCTTCAGTTTGTTTGGGCCGCAGGTTAATCGTAACTTTCCTTTTGCCTTCCTGTTGAAACCTTCAACCGAAAGCAGCCCGTTTTGTGTTGACACGCCTGTTTCCCTTTTTGCTTGGTGAGTCCCTCACTAACAATTGTCGGTTCCCCTTTTGTAGCTTGCAAAGTAGACGCACGTTTCACCCCCCCCCCCTCCCCCGCCGCCCCCGCCGATTCCCTGCCCGTTGTCAAGGGCCTGTGACAGCCGTCGGCTGCCATTGCTGAGCCGCGGCAGCTGTTTGGTGACGGCAGCGCGCATTTTGAGCATACAAATGCATAATTGTATGTGTAGATATATATATATATGTACATAATTACATGCCACAATGTATGCAATCATGTGTTTAGTTATATGTGTGTTTGCTCATGTGTTTATCTATGTGTTAAGCAACTTAGTTATCCAACATGACATACATCGATTGGTTCATTCATTTAAGGTATGAAGGTCGGGATGTCTCAATGTATGAATGTATGGATGTATGAATGTGTGAATGTATGAATGTGTGAATGTGTGAATGAGTGAACGTCTGAATGCATGCATGCATGCATGCATGCATGCATGCATGCATGCATGCATGAATGAATGAATGAATATGAATGAATGAATGAATGAATGAATGAATGAATGAATGAATGAATGAATGAATGAATGAATGAATAAACAAACGAACGACCGAATGAATGAATGCATGCATGCATGCATTCATGCATGCACGCACTCACGCACGAAGGAAGCAAGGAAGGAAGGAAGGAAGATAAGGAAGGAATGAATGAATGAATGCATGAATGCATGAATGAACGAACGGACGAATGAATGAACAAACGAATGAACGAATGCATGAACGAACGAACGAACGAACGAACGAACGAACGAATGAATGAATGAATGAATGAATGAATGAATGAATGAATGAATGAATGAACGAGCAACCGAATGAGCGAATGACTGAATGAATAAACTAATGTACGTATGGATAGATAGATAGATAGATAGATAGATAGATAGACAGCTAGATAGATAGCTAGCTAGGTGGATAGATAGCTTAGATTAGATAGATTAGATTAGATTGGATTAGATTCGATTAGCTCGGATAAGATTATATTAAAGTAGATTAGATAGGATAGATTGGTAGGTAGGTAGGTAGGCAGGTAGATAGATAGATTAGATTAGATAGCTTGTAACATATTGCGTTAGATAAGCTAGATCGATACATCAAGAGATAGATACAGGTGCAGAGATAGACAGACAGGAAAACAGACAGACAGACAGACAGACAGAAAGACAGACAGACAGGCAGGCAGACAGGCAGGCAGGCAGGCAGGCAAGCAGGCAGGCAGGCAGACCGACAAACAAACAGACAGGCACACAGACAGCCAGGCAGGCAGGCAGGCAGACAAACAGACGGGCCAGGCAGGCAGGCAGGCAGGCAGGCAAGCAGAAAGACAAACAAACAAACAGACATGATGATTATGTAAACACATCTAGATCTATAACTGTACTATGATGTATGTGTATATAAACACACATACGGCATGTATAAACATCCAAGTGTGTATGTGTGCAGCATACTGTATGCATGTAAACCACATTTCCACAGGCAACAGGTACAAGTCACCTGGTAGGACGGGTCCTGCTTTCCCTGATACTTCATGCGGTGTCTTGGTGAGGTCAGAAGCTCCGTCCATTTCATTGAGGTGCACACTTCAACATGTCAAGGAGCTGAACAAACTTTGTTGAAACTGGACATAAGGGAACGTCTCGGTAAATACCTTGATCATGGGGTACATTAACAGCCGAATCAATGGGCGCGTTACAATTTGTCCAGAAATCCACAAAAAAAAAAGGTAAACAACGTCTTCCATTGACAAACATGGGTGCATCTCTCAGGATCACATTTTTGGAAACTTTAGGATGTCCAAACTTTGACCTGAATATTCGTTGGACGTGACGGCTTCATGTTCATCTGAAGGGCAAAAGGTTGCCTATCTTTTAACCATGGCAAGGCCAATCAGACTCTTCCAAGTGGTTCACAATTGATGTTCCTGTCATTTTAAACTGGACCTGCTAGAGATTCCGCTCCACACAGATGAGACCTGGCCCCTCGTTTTGAAAAACGATCCGAAGTTCGCCCGCTTCACGCGAAGCCTTCAAATCCCGCTTTGACGCTTGCGGATGCTCTCTTGTCCAAAACTCCAAATGTAAGCCGCAGTATCTGTACTAGGTCCTCCAGTAGACAGGTTAAAATAAGGGTACCTTTCTTTCTGTAGTCTATTTTAGTAGGGGAACTCTCCCCAATTTTTTTGGGTGAGAAAGGGCACTACTCGGGGACCAAATGTGTAAGTTTCGTGATCTCTGGGTGCTTGAGGACCCGCCACCGAGCCTTGGCGCTTGGCGGCTGGTAGCTCATTTGGGGCCCCGGCCCGGTTGCGCCGCGCTTCGTCCCACCGGACCTCAACGGCTGGGGAAAGACATTCTGCAGATCTCTCATTCCAGAGTCCCCTTTTGGGGTTTGCTTCAAGGGAATCGAAAGCCAATCACTCATGTTTGGAGGCTCTTTCATTGTGAGACAAACCTATTTTGAGTTTCTCTTACGTTCAAGTCCGTTGCGAGGGTTGATTCCTTCAGCCACCAGGGGTGACTTGAAGACTCTGGCAAATGTCAGTCATGGCCTATTTTCTATCCCACCAAGTCGCTTTAACGAAGCAATACAAACACGTAACATATCCGGGCTAAC